TTGTATCCAAAAGCAATTTGTCTATCCGAAATCGTCCTCGATGGGGTAAACTGAATTACAAAAGATCCCGTGCCCACTGTTTGGGACATTTGGGAGAATAGTGTCTCGCTCTATTGAGGAACGTAGCACTGTTAAAGTTGTCGCAAGAACTGTACCCCACCACGACAGCAATGTGTAAGGCGGTGGAGAGTGGAAGACATTAGACCATAACTGGTTCCTTAGACCTATCGATGTCTGGTATAGGTTTAAAAAACGAGGCGGACATTTCTGCTAACGACTCACCGTGTCACGGTTTCAAGCGTCATCACACGGTTGGGAAATGTGCCATACGAATAAACGTTGAGAGGATGAAACAGCCATCAGCTGATCGCTTCGGTGCGCAAATGGTTATCTGACTGATTCTAGTTGTGAGGAACTCAATTCAAACGGTTTGTATCCGACCACTGCGTCTTCACAAACAGTACTTTTTTTCTCAACAGTCTATCAGCTAGACACGGAGCCACCATAAAACCATGGAGATCAGTGGATAAGCAAAATTCATCGCGTCATAATCATCGTGGCATGCCAGTTGAAGGTGAGCAACACACTTCAACTAATATGCCGCAGGAAGAATTGAATATTTTGACAAAAAGTAGAACAAAACATTTTTTAGTTTGTTTTTCACACGCCGCTTTTGCTCTTTTTTGTCATTTCAATGTTTGTGGTACTGAACACAAGCTAAATTGTGATAGCACAAGTTAATCACTTTCAAAGTGCGGAGAGTAGCTACCCGGTTGACTAATGCACTCCATTACCGGTTTCAACCTAATAGTTCCCGGAGTTTTGGGAAGGTTAGCTCAACAACCGCTCCAAAGCCAAAGCTTGTCACAACAGTTAACCACTGAGTGGAGGGGCATTTCGAAGCACTGCAGATAGTTTCGAACCTATAACCCAGACGATGGAATCAACCAATTATGCACCGCGGAATTATTCGTATTTCACCTGTGTTTCGGTGATGATTCAAGCAGCAGAACGGATGCATAACATTCTGCCGTACAGCACAGGTCTATAAACAACCGGCTCCATCCGCGTATTGTCCTCAAACATTCCCTGCTGAGTGAACAGCAGGTTTGAATTGACACAATACTCCGGATCAGCTGTCACCTTCCACACTGAAACCTTAGCCATAAAGCTCTCATCCTGGCTTCATACTTGCATACAGCAATTCCATTTGAGATGACAAAACGAAATACTCAGTAGTCGCCTTAGCAGCTTACATGCCACCTCGATTGGTGACGGCCTGCAAAGAAAGTCGCTGCTCTGGGGGCCAGCCCTGTCGTCTGCACACTCATAACATGTCTGATAGTGGAGGATGAGCCGCGCTATATCGCAGTCAAATATCAGTCATGGCGGTCCGCTGCCGTCGCCTATGGCTCAGTGAAATAAGTCGCTGACTCGCAAGAGTATAGTCGTGAGTACAAAACCAGCAGGATTCGGCGGGTGCGCGCTACTGACGAGTCCCAATAGGACGAAACGGACGTCTAGCGCTTTCCTGGATGTGTGGTGGCTGTCTGGCTGTGTCTACCTGCGACGAATCTACCCAAAACAAAATTAAGTTGCTGGAGAAGATCTTCCTGCCAATCCTACCGAATAGGTTTAGACGAAACTTCGGGAAAAAACAGTAAATCAGAAGATGCACATTCATATCTTACTGGGTATGGATTTCAGCAAGTAATACAGAGGGAGAAAGACGGTTCAGCCGAAGGCTTGGAGTTGGGAGCAAAATTACAGGCATGTTTAAGCAGCAGTGGAGCAGAGTGCAGTGTTGGAAGCTGCCTCGACAGCACGCCAAAGAGAAGTGATGTTTCGCACGCCGAAACCAAAAGCGCCACCCTGCCTATCTATGATTTCCAAGAAAAAGCCATCTGCTTCAAACAGAGGTTTAGTGAAAATCTGTAGGAGGAACCTGTCAAAAGAACAGCAAAAGTATAGATTAAAATGGAGCTGAATGAGGAGATAATTCATTTATCAAATTGGTGGACGTGCTATGGAAAAGGAAATCGAATATGGTGTGCTTACCGGATTACGGCACACCAATAGGAGTGGAGGAATCAATGAGCACACGGAAAACCAAGCAATTGAACAGAATAAAAGAGGCAGTCTAATGCCAGGAATGCCAAGTATTAGAATATGATTGGGCATGGAAGTGCGATGGATCAATTTGCCGTGAACCAGATGGATGAAAAAACGACTGCTACTACACTGGTAACGAACAATGGCTGCGCAAAATGGAGAGATGAAACAACCCGATGAAAGTGAGTGTAAACATTGTGGGAAAGGTGAATTAGCGCAGCATTTTCCACCCACGTCATTTAGCCTTACAAAGACCGCTACTTCGATTTACCTCTCTGTTGTCTTACTGTGTCCCATGCGCACCTTAAGGCGTCCTAATTTGCCGTGCATATATAAACTTTACTCCGCTCGTCTGTCTTATGTTCTCTGGGTTTTCGGGCCTTGGAATGGAGCGGAAATTAACGCCCAGCAGAGACGGTCTGCATAAAGAGGTCATGATTATTGAATAAAAGCCCGCCATTATACTTTCATCAGGGTGAATCTAAAGCTCCGCGGTGATTTAAGATCTATATCGGAATGAGATGATCATTAGTCGCGAGTAAACAGCTTGAGAGGCGGGGACGGATGGAAGAATGCCATCGGTATCGCAGTCACGTCATCCCGTAAGGAGATCCTAACGATGACTGATGTGGGCTATCTTGCGGACTCCATCCAAGAAGGCATGCCCTAGCCAGATCAGGAGTATAGCTCATATTTTCACATGTGGCCTCGTACAACTAAGGGTTATATATGCAGACAATACGCGCCGAAGCAGGCGGTTGTGTACCATGAAAAGTGTGTGAGCAGAGCTGTGCAGAAGGCGCAGGCTCAACGAGAGATTCGATGTGACGCTAGAGGGTATTTTTGGGAAACAACAGATGATAGATCTCAGCATTGTTTTACTCAGTGGTCACATTAGGCACAAGCGAGGTTGTGAAGGCATCGCGGATCAGAGACAACCCGAATCTCGAGACCATTGACGCGCGGCAGTCATATCTCCGATTCATGCAGTAATAGAGGCCACACTCAAGCGCTGTATATAAAATAAACCCTATAGTGGTTCTTAACTTGGAAGGTTTGTTAGATTTTGCTGACTGTAACCGTTTGTATCAGTGTTTGTTTTCGAATGATGGGCTAGAAAAATACTATTGCCACGCAGGAGAGTTCCTTTATTGCTACTTCCAAGGTCGGATAATGGATTGCAAGATATCGTCTTCCAGGTGTCACATCACAGGAGAGGTGCGCCAGGGTTGCCAAACATATCCTTTCCCTTTCAAATGTACCCGTTCTCTAGGACTATTCCAAAGTCAAAGTTTGCTAAGTAGCCTATCGCTAAACCTTGAGTATGTGAATGATATGATTCTCCATAGATCGAACCCAGAGACTATGCAGGCGCTAGTGAATAACTACACCAATCACGGTGCACGCGTCTGTAAGTGCCTTGTACCTTCAAATTGCAGATTTATGGTGCAATGCTGGATCGACAAACCGCCGGTTCTACCTACCATTGAGGCATAGCGAAGACTCCGAAACAATAGTGGTAATAACGTGAGTCTCATATAGATCTATCAGTTACTCTCAACGATGGGTGTCACAAACTGGCGTGGGTAAACTCCAAATATCTGGAATAGCATTTCGTTTGGTAACAAAGCATCTTGAGGCTCAAAGAGGAAACTAAATATTACGTTATAATTATGGCGAATCGCCGAGATAGTTGCTTGACTATCAGCTGAAGTTGAACGATTAGCGGAGCCAGCAGGGCCACAGTAGTAAACAACTATGCATTAAGGTTAAACTTTTAATTAAATAAGTGAATGCTAAAGTAAAGAGATGATTTAAGGTCAGCTGCACTGCTCTATTTTTTCAACATAAGGACGTATGATCAAGGGGGTCCCGGAATGACAGAATTTTATATATCTCAATTTTGTCTATCTGAATAGATAGCTTCTCATTGTTTCAAATGCTGTGGATATAGCGTCTAGTGAGAGGACGCTATCACTTCGTAGGCTAGCCACTGCCAGTGACAGTAGAAGATAGGTGGTGCCATATCCCAGTTAGCTTGCAAACTATGTAGCCCAGCCAACGCCCCCCACGGCCCATTGGACTAAGCTTCTAGTTAGTTGGCATATGCCTCTGGCGGGTTATAGGTTCGATCCCCATTAGGGGACCGTGGGAATGCGCACCAATGACGAGCCCCAATAACGTGAAAAGCGGCTAGTGTTTTTTCGGGCTAGGCTGTGCTATGTAGCTTGTGAACTACTGGGATGGATGCCTTAAGAAATATTGCAACTAAAATTCTGCTACTTACAAATAATATCTTAAATAGTTGTGCATCTAAACGTCTCTATTTTGTCTTTTGCGGTCCCACAATTCTAACGTCTGCAAGCAGCCTTTGTTGTATACCTCTAATTGTACCGGTTCCACTCCTTGCTATACCGGTTGGTCTGAATGATTGCAATTACGATTATCTGCTCTCGAAAGCAGCATAAACTATTCAGGAAGCCACGGTGATCAGCTGCTTTTAAGACTGTGCAACCACGATCTAATCAGAGTTGGTTATGCGCTCCTGTTCCTAAATTTCTGCTACCGAGACCATGCATTGGCTTGATGATTCGCTTAGCCAAATGTGCGTTTTTGGTTGTCGCAATGGACATCATAATGATAATCCGACGAAAATCACTTACGCCAATCGCTTTGTAGCATTTTCACTCGAAGACAAGACCTCGGTATCCAACAGTACTCCCGATTCGCGTAGCTCGTTCAGATCCACCAAAGTCTCATTGAAAGCACTGCATTTGGAGAGCTGATTGGAGAACGAATGAGCAGCAATGAATGACGGGCGAAGTGAAACCAAAATCTGTCCAAAAGCCACTGTTGGGGAACACGCCACTGAGCTTCAAAAATTACCAAAAGTAATGATCGTCTGATGAATACAGTAGCGAACTTAACGGAGTAAAATGTGCACTGGGACCAGTCAGAAACAAAGCAAGCATAAGATACGTATCGGTAATCCAAAAGGCAAACGACTGGTCATATCTCCAAACGACCGCGTAAGAGGCGCTTTTTTGCTTCGGCCGCGGGGAAAGGTCATGCGTTTAAGTGATAATGCACATGCGCGTAAGCTCAAAGGCTAACCACATCATCTGTGCTCATCTGCAGGACACTTCAGCTTCTCAGAAATGAATACCCAGTATTGAATAACGAGTTAAAAAAATAAAATAGTAAGCGCTTGATAAGTGTTTTAAAATGGTTTAGACGAAAACTAGAAAATCAAAAGAGATATGAATTGTCAATTTAAGTGTCTACCTAGTTGAATGAGTTGTTGAATAATGACGGTTCAATATAGAAGTCAAATGCAATCATACAGAACAACAGTCGGCTTGTCGAACCATCTCCGCTTAGTGCGAACTTGTTGATTTGTGTCCACTCCGTTCCAGTGTAGTGCTCGGTGGCGGTGTACTAAGAAGTGGCGGGCTTTCTCCCAGTAAGCGTTCTTCCTAGAAAAAGCCACAAATGTCTGTTTAATAACACTGTGACATGACGGATGTGACTAGCCACTAAATGAATTCGCTGCCTGTTGCTTTACATCGGTGAGGCAGTATACATCAATTAGTGTGCTGATATTAGGAGAAAGATTGGCCTTGTTTAGCACTCGATTAAACAAAAGAAGTATAAAATAAATATCCAGTTACCAACTTCCAAATGGCACGATTCCGTGAATTCGACCCGCTGTCTTGAGGGCACACTATTTAGACAAAGGCTCGGGGTAATGCCCCTTAAGATAATTTATTTCGGCCTGGGAAACCGGGTAGTATCATGCCCACTAACAAAACCATAGATCGTTCATTTGATACATTACGTTCAGGTGCTTCTGCTTTCGCTATTCACACACCTTCACTCGTCACCTGTGCATTGGTTACCAATCACTTTTATGCTTTACCAGCTGATTCCTGTTCTCAAGACTCTACTCCATTTGGTTTTGTTGAAGACCACAGAGGTCGTCCAGTGACCCTTCTTTGGCCACGGTCCTCGTTTCCTCTGGCATGCTTTAATGTAAATAAAGCCATGAAGATCGGAGCAAAAGGCTCGTCTTGCGCGAACCTTGGAATTCCTCGCCGTAGATGTTTGGTGTCTCTCCGAAATGCGCTTGCAAGATGCTGGTACTGTGACTGACTTGAGATTTCCAAACAATTACGGAGTCTTATAAAAATACTACCACTACTGCTACCACTACTATTACTACTACTTACTAACTACTATACTACTACTACTACTACTACTACTACTACTACTACTACTACTACTACTACTACTACTACTACTACTACTACTACTACTACTACTACTACTACTACTACTACTACTACTACTACTACTACTACTACTACTACTACTACTACTACTACTACTACTACTACTACTACTACTACTACTACTACTACTACTACTACTACTACTACTACTACTACTACTACTACTACTACTACTACTACTACTACTACTACTACTACTACTACTACTACTACTACTACTACTACTACTACTACTACTACTACTACTACTACTACTACTACTACTACTACTACTACTACTACTACTACTACTACTACTACTACTACTACTACTACTACTACTACTACTACTACTACTACTACTACTACTACTACTACTACTACTACTACTACTACTACTACTACTACTACTACTACTACTACTACTACTACTGCTACCACTACTATTACTACATATATATTTGTCAGTTGTGCGAGCTGTCCCTGAATTGCGGACGGATCATGAGTACACTAACAATCATGCACCTGCATGAGTGAGATATGTATTTTGGGCGTCTGACATCAAATCATTCTGAGTCACATAACTAATTTTGTTGCTGAGTTTCATGCAACATCTATTCTCAATATTTCTTGATATATCCTGAAAGAACTCATTTAGTGAGTTACCCGATGGAAACATGGTCATTACCGAGCTTTAGTCCAGGAAAGTTCCAAGTTTAATGCGGAACGTTATTGCATTTGTGCAATAGCTGATTGCGGCTAGTAGGCTATTCCATACGACAGCGCATCTAACGAGGAAGTAGCTGAAGTGAATAGCTATCCCAGTTGTAGGCACAGTTGGTTTACAGGTCTTGTTGGGTAGATTCCGAGTGAAGTTAGATTGTAATTTTAGTGTGCATAGATTAGGATATGTCCTTTGGTTTATGGACTGTGTATCAACACCAGATTCTGTTTCACTGGTCGCAACCAAACGGGTTCGAGCGTAAGCTGCTGGCAGCACTCCTGATAACGCAAGGTGGACGATTTACTGACCAAGCGTTTAGTAAATAATCTCTATAGGCTTTCCAAAGCTTTCCTATCACTCATACGTATGTTCCCAAAAGTGATGCAGCAATATTTAAGGACAGAAAATGTGAGTGTTTTGAAAAGCAAGATTCTGGCAGGAACTGTATGAATTTTATGTCATAATTTAGGCATAGATCGTTTGACATATGCTATTTGAAGTTAAAATCTGAAGTATCATTTGCCTAGATCACATTTAGACAGGTTCACACACGTTCATTGCTCAGTTTAACTGACTCTTCTAGGATCAAACATCCATGTGCTATGATGCATGATTTATTAGTTGCGAACTTTATCATCCATGTGTCGCGCCATTTCTCAAGTGAATAGATGTCTTCTTGAACCAGCAATGGAATAATAGACTGGCCAAAGATATAAAAAAACAAACGCTTAATAGCTTTCCGTAGATTAAAAGTGAGATCAAAAATGGATGTAGCTAAAAAGAAATATGCGTAGCAGTGGACTTGGCGCCAAATTCAGGTGTGCACATTGTTCGTTTGCGCTGTCGCGTGTCCCAGTAACTTGGGTTAAATCATGCATTGCAAGTGCTGTAATGCATCATGCTCAGGCTGAGTTTAGAATTCGGACAATGTCGGAGCAGATATGACCAAATCCGGAAGTAAGTTCCAAGGATGGAATACACGATATGAAAGAACGCTCCGGCGGTATTCCAACCGGCTATACTGTGTCGCCAATTTCAAATGGTGGCATCTCAGTGTGGTGTTGTGGCTGTTTCCGTATGGGTTGGTATGGGGGTTGGGACCATTGAGGATCTGATACACAAATAGATCACCTGGCAGAGGACGATATTGTTCGCTAAAAACTCCTAAGGTCTTTAGGCTTAAATGACAAAAGAGGTGGAGCAATTCATTTGCATTTTTGTCGACCTCCGTTGTGGTTTCTCAAGATCAGCAAGACCACATTTGCCAGGGGTGCCAAGCTTAAATGGCGTATTCAACGTGTGGTCTCAGGTATGCGTTGAGCATTGGTGAAAAGAAGGTAAGGTAAGGTAAGATCTAGACACTGCCTATGAGACACTGAGGGTCAAAAGAATAGTCCGCCCCAGATCAACTGGACGAAGGAACATCATTGAGGCGGACTCTAGCCAACAGTACGGGAGAGCTGACTACACGGTCAGTTCACGTGGACCAATCGACTCCTGACGTTCGAATCAAGTGATCAATAATCACTTGGATCTGCAAAAAGCCCGCATAAACCGCACTGATGATGTCGTCTAGTCTGACGATGAAACGTTTGCAACCAAATCAACCAGCTAGGAGAACACCCGCATACCCTCATCCGCATCCCGAGCTACAAATATTCTCACGGATTTCTAAGATCAAACAAGCTAAACGCCATCCGCAGTAGGCCAAAAAGTTGACTGGCTTTCTGCACTACATTTGCCTACTTTGAGCATCTACGATCGTCCTGAACGAGAACACCCTCAAGATCCCATTCATGAGAAGAGCACTGCAAAGCATGTTCTCCAAGTCGATAGTGACAGGTGCTCTAATAGCGTGTGCTCATTATGTTGCACTTGGCAGGATTAAATCAAGCATGTTCTGGGTCAACCATACGTAAGCCCTGTATAGATCGCTTTGAAGAGCTATTTGTTCGTTTACTCGTTTGATTGCCCGCCAAATCTTGAGTTCGGCCGCAGAAAGTAGAACGTTCGACGTCAACACTCCGCGAGGTTGTGTATGAAGACGCGGAATAACCGTGATCTTAGTACCGAGCCTTGAGGTACGCCACAGTGAACCTCTATCGGATCGGAGAGAGTGCCACGAACTTGCACATGCAAACATAGTTGAAGTAGGAATGAAGAAATTCAGCCAAGAATAGGGCTACCGATCCCGTATCTCCAAAGTTGGTGAAGGTGAATCCAGTGAACAAGACGGTCAAATGCTTTAGAGGAATAAGGTAAGTGGCGTCGAATCCTTCCCCAGCATCGACGGATTCAGTCCAGCTAATACGGCCAAACAAAAGATTCGTGGTACATGGGCGGTTTTGGCAGAATCCATGCTGCTCTTGGGTGAGGATATGGCACATTTCTAAGTATCCCATAAGTGCACCTACAACGACAGATACCATGACTAGCAAAAACGGAAAGAAGAGTAATGGGACGGTGGTTTGAGGGCGCTGAGCGACTGCCTCCCTTGTAAATGGGAGTGACTATTCCACGCTTCCACATTGTTGGGACAGCGCTGGAAAAACTAAGATAAGGGTTCAATCAGATTCGTGGCAGCTACCATGAGTGACTTGGGACATATACTAGCTGGACCAGGTGAACTATGTTCGCGTAGTGACAGAAGCTGTTTCCGCATATCTGCAGATGTGAAGGAGACGTGACAAGACGTGGTGGTGAGGTGATATGTGTGAGAATGATGTCAGATGGTGATGCTTTCTGCGAAGTACAAGCGAAGTGATGCCTAAAAGTACTAGCTGATTC